CCCTAATTTGGCTTTCTTTCATTACTATGTTGGCTGTGGCCCTGAAAGTGCTCCCTGCACTCCTACTCTAAACAAGTATTTCTTATCAAAGGCCTCCAGCAATGCTTTAAGCCAGAGGTCCCCAACCTTTTGGGCACCAGGGACCAGTTCCATGGAGAGAGGTTTTTCCGTAGACCGGAGGGGCGTGGTTTTGTGTGCTGCCCGCATCTCGAGAATGGGGCTTTGCTTGTTTGTGCGGACCGGTTGCTGGAATGCTGCAGCCTGGAACTGATCCATGGACCGGGGGTTGGGGACCCCTGCTTTAAGCTAGTGTGTGTGTGTGTGTGTGGCCCCTTCCATCCTGATGACTGCCTGGACCAGTTCCTGTAATTTTCTTAGCAATATTGTCTGGGAAGTGACTTGCCATTGCTTTCATACTCTAGGACTGAGAGAGAGAAAGTGGCTCAAGGTCACCTAGTTGGTTTTATACCTATGGACTAGAACTCATAGTCTCCTTGTTTCCAGCCTGGTGCCTTAACTTCTCTCTAAGCAAGACCTGGATACATCTGACCTTTTGGCTCTCAGTGTCTGGCTCACATGAGGTCAATTGGAAATTAGAAATCAAATGCAAATAAGTTCACCCCAGGGGCAGGAGAAGATAAATTGAGTCCAGCTCTGCGCAGTCACTCTATGTTCCTTCAGTCAGCTGGCGGCCACAGGAAGACGAAGAGAGAAAGCACTTTTCTGCACGTATGCAATGCTCACCCCTCTCCTGGAGCAGCCTGAGGAATTGAGGTGACTGAGGACATCAAATCAGGCTACATTGGTTCATCCTCCCATAACAGTCCTAGTTTCTCATGTGGCCCCTAGGAAAAATTAATTGCCCATCCCTGCTCTAAGCTGGTAGATTCAGGTTTTCTGCATTGAAATCCATCACTCTTTCCTGTTAACTCTTACCAGATATAGTGAACAAAAATTGCTTCCTTATCCATATTGAACTCTTCCACAATTATTTGGTGTGCATATTGTACTGATATTTGGGCAGCAGATCTCTTGTTTAAAGGCTTGAAATCCACATATAGTGAAACCTCAAGCAAGTACTGGTTTATATTAAAAAAAATCTTTCTATAGTTCATTGACAATTGCTGACCAAGATGGAAATAAATTGAATTAATACATCTGGAAGCCTTTCTTCTAAAAACACTGGCTAGCCAACTGGCTGCCTCTGAATAATTTGCACTGCAAAAACAGAAATGTCCCTGTTTTTTCAATCCTGATCCATCAGCTGTGCCAACAATAGCTTCTCCTAAATGTTAATTTAGAATTAATCACCCTGTTATCTCTGTGAATTAATCTGCAGTGTCATTCAGTTATTGCTACTGAATGCCAGGTCACACTGTACTAAGACATCTCTCATCTGTAATTTCATCATGGATGAGGGCTGACTTGACATGTACTACTGATGTCTCACTGGGTTCAGAAAGGAATGTTCCCCTCTTATAAATGTACCTGGGTTTCAGGTGTGGCATCAATCAAGACTCCAGATTAGCAATAGGGTTACCATCTGGGAATGGTTCTCAGAGATATTATTCCACAGGTCACCAGATGTGAGACATAATTTATTAAGCTGGACTCTAGGGATCAGTTGAGATTGGTGCTAGTAGCCTTCCTGCTACATAGTGACTTCTCTGATTGACTCCACTTCTGGGTTGCCCATAGAGTTTCTCAGGCTTATTGTTCTAAAAGACTTCAGTCTGGCTTCTGTAGGTCTAAGGCAGGGGTCTTCAAACTTGGCCCTTTTATGACTTGTGGATTTCAACTCCCAGAATTCCTCAGCGAGTGTGCCTGGTGAGGAATTTTGGGAGTTGTAGTCCACAAGTCATAAAAGGGCCAAGTTTGAAGACACCTGGTCTAAGGCTACTGAAGAGTTCATGACCACTATGGACCTGTCCTAGGTTATTTAGGGCCTGACTCATGACAGTGGTCACACACCTGATCTGGTTCTCTTGTTCAAATGAAGGTAAGATAATCTAGAATTGGGGGAGCTATCTGCGGCTCTGCTGCTATGGTCAGGCTACTCTCTGGTAGCCATGAGATTGTCTGGCACTGCACCTCATGGCAGAGAGGTGGGATCTTTTCAATTGCTCCACCCTCAGCAACTGATGGACCCAGATGGGTTCCAAGAGAAGTGGGGGTTGTTTCTGATGGTCTGTAACATGGTGCAGCCAAGGTCAGTTGATACCCACTCTGGAATGGGAGGGTGGCCGTGGCTTTGGATTAGTTCATGCCAATGCAGTTTTTTCTTTTCCATGGATCTCAACAATTCCCAGAAAATGAGGGAAATGAAAAGGGTTATAAGACAGTTAGAACAATGCTGGTGGTCAACAAGGAGTGAACTTGACTAAACTAGTCTAGTCTATGACAGTAAGGGTGGCAAAATGTCAATATCTCTTCACCGTTATTTCAGCTACCTTGGATAAAGAGGTTCATCTATAGGTTCACACAGAAGAAAAAGCAGGGCATCTGTTTGATAAAATCATTTGGATTCACTCTCAATTGGACACCAGTCTTGGTGCAAGTCCTATGGACATTCATGGAGCATTGTCTTGTTTGTTATCTGGGAGGACTGTTGGGCTGATAAAATGGACCGGTCCTCATGACTGTGCATTTAGCCATCTGTTTATGGTGTTGAGATCCACGTCCCTCCTGGTTGATAAAGGCCTCTCAGGAGATGACATTCAGTTGGATCCTAGCTTTGAGGAGGGGGGGTTGTTCCTCTGCCTCTCAAGGAAGCAGTGGTTCACATACACCTCCAGAAGCCCTCAATGGCTCCAGCTGTATTCAACAACTTTGATCCAATATTCAGCCTTCCCATTTTAGGGAAGGTTGTTGAGAAGGTGGTCATGCAACAGCTTCAAAGAATCCTGGATGAAGCAGATTATCTGGACCCTTTAGATTAAGCTAAATGTTGCTGGCCCTCAGGAAGTCTCTTAAGACTTGGAGATCCAGCGATGCTGGTTGGTTGCACTGTTAGTAATTTATTGTTTTAATTAACTGCTTTAATTGGTTTAAATGGGATTTATTTTGCTTTATTCCTAATTGTTGTTTTAATTATGTAAGTCATCCAAAGTCACTTAGGTAAGATGGGTGGCGATATAAATAACCAACTAAATAAATCATGTTTACTGATAAACTGTTCTTGTTGTGATAGAAAAAGAATATCCAAATAAAATATTAACATTATCTGTTTCTCTTATAGCACTGGACTGAATACTTGAATTAAAAATAATAATTGTCCTTTATTGTTGGTAACCATCAAGCTTTTCCATTAATTTTGCGTTAAAAAAGGAAGGTGCTGGGGAAGCAAAGATGAAGTAGCAGTTTCTAATTTAACTCTCTTTAGATGTGCTGGGACTTCATTTCCCAGAATTCTCAGGCTTCAAGGGAGGCCAAATTGGTGTATATTGGTTCTTTTTCTAAGGCAGACCAAGAAACATTTTAGACACTATACAAGCTCTATATTGTTTCTACTTTTCCTTAAGTATTAAGTGAGAACCATTAATATCTCACCAGTATTATTTGTGCACCACAGGGAATTTATAAGGCATGGCAGCTGGTGATTAACTATTACAGCAAACTTGCTTTTTAATGGCTTTTAGCCAGCTAAATGTTGGCAACCATTCGAAAGTAATCTATCATAAATAGGAAGCATGTCCCCAGACTCATAATTAATATTTCCTAGACACTAGAGATTCCAAAAAAAGTCAAAGAGGCTGAGATTTTTACTATTTTTTCCCCATTTTTGTAGTACTGGGCCTTTCAAAAATGTGTTGTGTTTGTAGAATGTTGTGCAAATTGAGAGTGAACAAGGCAGAGCCAAACTATTTGCAATTTCAACAACTGGCAGGAGAATGGTATGTTACCTTCAGATGGAGAATAGCGAGAGAAGTAGCCTTCAAGTGGCTGTGGTCCATGTTTCTATTTTGTTCCAGAAAAACATCACACAGGCAGACCATATCACACAGGCAGGTTTTGATTGCTTTTGGTAAACAGCCACTAAAAAGCTTATTAAAAATTAAATATTTGAGTTTAATTATAAATATAAAATTCACTTTCATGGAGATATTTAGTTTAAGTTTCCTGGTAGCCAAAGCTTGGTTTCCCAGATTCTGTGGTCCCTGCATCTGAATCCAACTCATTCCATGATTCTACCTCTGCTTTAGTTGAAAAGAGGAAATTTGGTCTTATTCAACATTTCCCTAACAGGATCTGTATCAAAGCATTTGATTCCTTGTGTCGAGGTAACAAAGGATATGCCAAGCCTTCTTTTACCTTCACTTACCCAAATATCTAGACTCAGTATGTAATATTCATTATACAGATAGTCCCTCTTGCAACCATTTATTCAGTGACGGTTTCAAGTCACAGCAGCACTGAAAAAAAAGAGACATGACTTTTTCACACGTAGGATCATTGCAGCATCCTCATGGTCATGTCACCTTTTGCGACCTTCTGTCAAGCAAAGTCGAGATTCACTTAACAACTGTGATACTAACTTAACAGCTACAGTGATTTATCTATCAACTGTGGCAGGAAAGATGGTAAAATGGACCAACATTCACTTAATAACTGTCCTGCTTATCAATGCAAATTTCGGTTGTGGTCCTAAGTCAAGGACTACCTGTACTGTACTACTGTTGCGTGTTTTATTATGTATAGATGTTAGAATATTTATGTTGAAAGTATTAACTGCATTGTTAACACAATCGTCTTCATAAAAAACCACCCTCCTATTGTTTCTGTTCTGAATACGCGTGAACAGAGTACTTAATGTCCTGTGGTTGGACAGAAGGGAAGAAACCCCAGGTATTTGGGCTGCTGAGCAGAAAATGACTGCTCAAACCACAGCGGAGATGCAAGGACTTTGCACTCAACTGACAGGGTGAAGACTTGCTCTGCTTTTTCAAGGCTGTGATTGTGTGCCTCTTTATCCTAAATTTGTATTTCTCCACTTTCTTCAGGCAACCCAATATATGAGTTTGATTTCAAAGGAAATGCAACCCGTGGCTGGCACAGAAGGTGCTTATTACCGTCGTAGAAGGTTGATGAGGCAACTTCCTCTTTATGATCAGGACCCTTCCCAATGTCGGGGCCTTTCGGAGAATGAAATCAAGTTGATGGAAGAGTTTATTAAGCAGTATAAAGACAATGCTCTTGGAGTTGGAGAAGTTGCACTGCTGGGTCAAGGGGGAGCTACCAAAGAAGAAGGAAAGCAATCTGATAAAAATACTGCAGCAAGTAAGGAACCAGCTTCAACCAATGGCACATTGGGCCATCTATCAAAAGGGCAGGACTCGGTAAGTCATCAACACAGTGTTTCAGAGTTTGGGGAAAATGCATTTTTTAAAAAAGTATATAATTAATGGGTGTAGCTTGGATATTCAAATATGAAATACATAAAATCCTATCAAATCTTACTTGATTGAAAGATGGGAATATAGAAGGTATGTGGCTTTAGGGAATACAGAAGGTATGTGGATTCAGATATGCTACAATTCTTTTAGATACATGTAATTGCACCCAAAGTTTAAGCCTAATTAGTTCACAAACATAATAGTCATGAACAATGAAGACAATAATGCTGCCAGTACAAATGGTAAAAAATCCAACAGCAGAAGTATTAGACATGAAGTGACTGCCAGAAGAGGTGCTGAAATAAACAAAGCAAAAATATTGTAGAGTTCGGCCTTGGAAAGACATTCTATGAAATCCCTTCTTGGCATGGAGCCAGGTCATTTGGAGGACTGCCTTTTCCTGCTCAGGTCTGGCAGAAGAAGAATGTTGTGGGTCCTCTTCTGCCTTGAACCCACCCTGTGGAACATCAACCACCACCACCCTCCTCCAGGGTGAGATTGACCTCATCCCTGTCAAACCTCCTGAACTCCCTCAAAACTTTGCTGTGTTAATAGTCCAAGGAATCTTAAGGGAAGGGTGAGATGATGGGGAGTTTCCATTGTTTGTAATATCTAATGCTTTCTCTTAGCTTTCTAATCCTAATATTAATGTTTTTAATCATAGATGTTTTATATTGCTATTTTATTATTGCTATTGTACCCACTTAGAGTCATATTTTGGGCAGCCATATAAAATGGATGGGAGAGAGAGGGAGGGAGGGAGGGAGAGAGAGAGAGAGAGAGAGAGAGAGAGAGAGAGAGAGAGAGAGAGAGAGAGAGTATCCCTGAAGCACTTTGATAGATGGAAATCATACAGAGATCATCTGAACTGCTTTTTGATCTTCCAAGTGTTGGTGTTAAAATTATGGGCAACCTGTATAGGTTAAGGTACTACTTTCAAAATAGCCATTTCCAAAAACAGCAGTCTGTAAGAGGATTCTTTTTTCCCCTTGTCATTTAAATCAGTATTTCAACCTCAGCAACTTTAAGATATATGGACTTCATCTCCCAGAATTCTTCCAACGTGATTTAAAAGCTATGAGCAGAGAGACCGATAGGAAAGTCGTGATTGTAATCTGCTGCATAGGTTTTGGCATTGCTCTTCCCCAGAGCACAAAGAGAAGTTTGGCCTTGCTTGTTGGTTGGTTTGGAGAAACATATTTTTCTTAGTCTGCATTACATGTTGTTATAGCAGCAGCTCAGTCTTAGGAAAGGCTGCATCACCTCAGGAAATAAAAACTTACTAGTGGCAGAGGCTTTTATTAAAAGTGTTGTGAATACCATCATGGCATGATGAAATAATTTTGACTACAAAATCATCCCTCAAGTAAATATGTAACTGCGGGTGTTTACTTTCTAGGAGATTTAAAACTTTACTTAGTATTCTATAAACATCAGTGGAAAGGCTAACTTCATTTTAAAAGTAATTGTACAGCTAAATGCTTCCACTGAAGAGTTTTTGCATTCTAAGAAAACAACATTAAGCATTTTGAGACTTGTCTCATGCATTCATTGAGACATTTAAGGCTACGTGTATTTTTATTGACATTCATTTATACATCTTTATTACTATATCAAAGTATAATCTGATTTATAAATTCCAGCACAATTCTACAAGGATCCTTATATTTTTGTAATTTTTTAAAACTTTTAAAATTCTTAGTAGAAAACAACACAGTATTAAACTTTCCATCATTTTCTTAAACTTGTTTATACTTCTCATTCCGATACTCTTTATCTGTCAGAACAGTGCTGGAATTTTGTGAAAAATGCCAACATTTTATAGCACAAAGTTCTGTTATTGCTGAACAGCCACTGTCTAAAGCTACAGACAACATAGTTCTTGTTTTTGATGAAATGGGCTTTACATTCCAAAACATCTTTAATGAAGCCCTTGCTATCTTCTGGATTTTAACCCCAGTGTAGGGCACCGCATAAATTCTACACAATGTTCTTCTTTTTTTTTTGATAGATGAGGAATTTCAAGGGTAACACTTGAAATAAGACCAGGAATTTTTAATTCATTTGTTTAAAACATTTGTCTAGCCATCCATCTTATAACCAATTCTGGGAGGTTCCTAGCCAAAATTTATGGATTATGTATTGTATACGTAAATAACAAGTAATTATTGTTGCTGAAGAAGCAAAATAGACTGGGTTCCCAAAGTGAGGGATAGTATCCTATTAAAGCTTCAATTTAAGCAACCCAAAATTCTTAGCTTTCTAGTTTGGCCAAAAGAACTCTTTTTCTGCCCTGCTCCAATACAGAAATGTGGAAGATAAAAGTAAAGCCTCCTTCAATTTGAGCTCAACTCTTGATGATTTTATTAGTGCAACTTTCTTGGCAACGATTCAGAAGCATTTGGCTATTCTTGTTCCAAGTTGTTTTTTTCAACTCCCCAGTCTAGCCTACAAGTCTGGACTTGATAGTTGTCTGCCAATCTCCTCTAGATTTCCAATAACTGTTAAGAGCATAGGTTGAGGTAAAAACTTGCTTCTAAGCCATATACTAAGGCTGTTTATTTATATGTTCATACATACATACATTCCATGCATACTTAAAAATATTTCTATTTTTTCCTATCAAATGCTTTAAGGATTACTCAGGGCAGCTTTCCAGTATTTAAAATAATACCCAAATTAAAATGTATAAAAGACAAAACCAAAAATCAATCAAAAAATGTCCTTATACAAATTATAAAGCAGTCGGAAGCAGCATATTATATTTTCTAACAGTTGTGCTGCCTGTGGAGGAAAGTCACTTGTTGGCAGAAAAGCCACTGAGATGGTGTAAACGTGACCTCCTAAGTCAGGGAAGTCCAGCTTTGAATGCCAACACTGAGAAAGCTGTTCCAACTGGGGAAGACATTAAATGTCTCTTTCTGTTGTGTGCTAAACCCATATGACGAGCCCAAAGGAAAGACTTTCCATCAATTCTTAGGGAGCAAAGAGGCTGATATAAGAGGAGACAGCTCCTGAAACCTCCTGGACATAACCTGAGCTACTTGGGATGATTTCATCATTTATTTATTTAGAAAATATATATGGCCATCTATGAGCCATGGTGGCACAGTGGTTAATCAGATTAGTTTAAATATTTCTTTTTAATTAATTTTAATAGGTGTATTGTATGTTTGTATTTTATCTAATTGTTAGCCGCCCTGAGTCCGCAAGGAGAAGGGCGGGATATAAATGTAATTAATTAAATAAATAAATAAATAAAATGTAGTACTGCAGGCTACTTCTGCTGACTGCTGGCTACCTGCAATTTGGCAGTTCGAATCTTACCAGGTTCAAGGTCGACTCAGCCTTCCATCCTTCTGAGGTCGGTAAAATGAGGACCCAGGTTGTTGGGGGCAACAGGCTGACTCTGTAAACCACTTAGAGAGGGCTGGAAAGCACTGTGAAGTGGTACATAACTCTAAGGGCTATTGCTATTGCTGCTATCTAAGTCAAAGTGACTCCAAGCAACTTACAAGAATAAAAGCTCAATACAAACCCCAATAAATCACCATTCCCCTGGTAACAACAATCAAACCAACCACTTCATGGGTTCCATATCACCCTGGTATCCCCAGGCCCATTGGCAAAACTATAGAATATCTTAAGGGTTTCGAAAGAGTGTTAAAGTGGAGGCCAATCTTTCGGCAAGTATGATGAGGGAATCATCGTGGAAAAAGCCCTTCTTGGTTCTACCGGATGGACCTTTTTAAGAGAGGGAACCAGTAGCATACCCTGCCTCCTCACTCTGATGGGTCAGGTAGATATAACTTGGAAAAGATGTTCTTTCAGATAACCTGGCCCCAGGCTTAAAGGTGACAAACAGCTCCCATGTAGAGTGCATTTTGGGATATACAATCAGTTGGATATTAAACATTATCTTGATTCAGTTATTTGGCAAAAACATGAAGTTTAATCATTATTGTCTTCAATGAATAGTATATTCAGTACTAAACAACTAACTGGTGTTGCTTCTTATTCCAGTGCATTTTTTAAGCCAAGAGCCATCCCATAAAAAGTAACTGTAAAAATGTCAGCACTTGCTTAACCACAATGGCTTAAGTTTTCCTGGCATAACGAAGTAGATACAAATCCTAATGCCAGATCTTGAAATCATAGGTTGTACTTCTCTATGTGTCTCTTAAAAAACAAAACAAATCATAGTCTTTAAAATGGAAGCTTTGAAGTATTCCTTAGTCAATCAGGATAAACCTATTTGATAACTTACAGTATAATGTTCAAGTATTTCTTGTCTAACATGACAAAAAGGTAATTGAGGGGGCCTCCAGCAATTGCCTACTTTTTAGTAATTATGACCTGAAGGTATGCACTCCAAATTTAAATTGCATTGTAACTATAATATTTTCTTTCTTTCTTTCTTTCTTTCTTTCTTTCTTTCTTTCTTTCTTTCTTTCTTTCTTTCTTTCTTTCTTTCTTTCTTTCTTTCTTTCTTTCTTTCCTTTCCTTTCCTTTCCTTTCCTTCCTTCCTTCTTTTCTTTTCTTTCTTTCTTTCCTTGTAATTGTTCTGTTATTGTACTTTCTCCTTTTCTTGTGTTTAGAATTAGAATTAGTGGAAAATATTAGTGGGACTCTGGGGATAAAGCTGAGAGGTGAGCACATGGAGTCTGGGACCATAAGCCATGTGACTCCATTAATCTTCTTGGAATGTGGATCTTGATTTAGCACTGCAAGGAGATAAAATGCCCAAATATCTTTTATATCTCTTGTCACCATCTGTTCACTGACTGGATAAATCTTTCTAATTTATTTTAAAGAGTTTTTTTTCTGAAGTAGTAACTATCCAAATCATGCTATCATGAGGAGGGGGGACATGATAGCAGTGTTCCAATATCTCAGGGGCTGCCACAAAGAAGAGGGAGTCAAGCTATTTTCCAAAGCGCCTGAAGGCAGGACAAGAAACAATGGCTGGAAACTAATCAAGGAGAGAAGCAACCTAGAACTAAGGAGAAACTTCCTGACAGTTAGAACAATTAACCAGTGGAACAACCTGCCTCCAGAAGCGGTGAATGCTCCAACACTGAAGGTTTTTAAGAAGAGACTGAACAACCATTTGTCTGAAATGGTATAGGGTTTCCTGCCTGAGCAGGAGGTTGGACTAGATGACCTCCAAGGTCTCTTCCAACTTTATTATTATTATTATTATTATTATTATTATTATTATTATTATTATTATTATTATTATTATTATTATTATTACTACTACTACTACTACCACCACTACTACTACTACTACTACTACTACTACTACTACTACTACAAGAAGCTTTGCTGTTGATTGCAGGCTTCTAATGGTTTAAGGAAAGAGGTGTATTGGCCATCCTGGTATTTTTCTGGAGAAATTTACTCTGGGCTTTAACAGCAAAAAGAACAACAAATTGACTGAGACAATCCATCATGGGCCAAGTTTAACCTCCTATGAAAAGGGGATGTTGTGGGCAGAAGATTTTTCTGAAGAAAATATTTTCATTTCCCCTGAAACAAAATGAAAGTCTTGTCAATATTGACTAAGGGCTATGGAGATTCTCAGTCATCCAGGTCATGGTTGTCCCAAAGGTGCTTTTTCATGAGCCAGCTGGACTTTCTTGTTTTTCTTTGAAGATGTTTCGCTTCTCATCCAAGAAGCTTCTTCAGCTCTGACTGGATGGTGGGGAATGGAATGATTTATATTCCTTGCGGACAGCCAGTCATTTGCATTCTTTTAGAGCAGGGATGTCAAGCTGGCGGCCCGTGGGCTGGGTGCGTCACGCACAGGCTAAGCCCACCTTAGCTCTGCAAAGGCAAAAAATGTTGCAATACATCACGATACATCATGTGACACAATCAAGTTTGACACCTGTGTTTTAGAGAGTCGATGAGGCCATTTGGAGGTATTACCTGTGTCCTCAGGGTCACCTGAGTAGTGCAAATTGTGTGGACTCTTCTTGGCTGCAGGATGTTTTCTGTGTCCCTTCACTGTTGAAGACAGGCGCAGGCTGTTGGGGATGAGTCTGGGTTGTCTGCATCTATTAGCTAAGGAATTGGCAGGTGGAGAGAACAGTTCAGCCTTCCTGTACAGTTTTGATCCAAGCTTACTTTGACTTGATCTTTAGCCTAGGAAAGAAGTATTTTCCTTTGCTAAGCCTTCACAATATCTGATCTAGTCTTTTCTCCTTTAGCAACCATGATTTCCCATTCTTAGTAGCTGTTCTAAAGCAAAATAGTTTAATTACTTAATATTTAAATAATTTAAATATTTAAAATATGTGGCCTTTCTTGAGGCCTTATGAGAAGTTTAGATTGGGCCTAGGCAAAGAAGGTGAATGAAATGTAGAACAAGGAGTGGACAATTTGAGGTCCTTAGTCTAATTTCATGCAGCTCTCCCCGAAAGCTGCTTCAAACCAGCTTGGAGGACAGCAAGGGCAAGCATGAAAAAGCAATGTCAGAATGGAGAATAAGCAAGAAAAGGAATAGCAGAGAGAGAATGGAAGGGCTATGAGGGGCTGCTGCTAAATCTGCCTGCCATAACTACTGTAAACTATGGTTGGGTTGTGTTGCTCCCAAAGGTATATCTGTGCTGAAAGATGGCCATGGTAAGAAAATCACTCTCTAGCTCAGTGTTTCTCAAACTTAGCAACTTTAAGACGTGGCTGGTTAGGGATCCCTGGGAACTGAAGTCCATACATCTCAAAGTTGATAAAGCTAAGAAACTGAAGGGAATTTGGGGCACTGAAATCAAATGAATTTCTAGGCTGTCATAGAATAGTTATAGATTACCAAGACTCCAAAATGCACACATGAAGTAAAAACTGTAATGCATTATATAAGCCCCGTCCAAAAGGAAATAAAACCGCATAATCTTTCATTTCCCTCTGACTTAATACAGATAAATAATTCTGAATCACTTATGTAAGAAATTGATATGTGGCTCATTTCACTTAGTATCTGGCATGTATACTTTACTGTGTCTTTTTCACAAATCGTAAATCAATGTATAGAAAGCCAACAGAATAAAATTATTGTTACTTCTGGTATTAAGGAGAAATGTGAGCTTATACCATAGTTTATAGTTACTATATCTTTTTTATACTATTCATTATGCTACTCTAAAGTAGCTATCCATTTATATTTCTTTATTGCTAAATCCAATATTATCAGAGATGATTTCACAACTATTTTATTTTTACTTAGGAAACTCATTTCTGAACATCAGAACCATATGTTTTTACAGAGCATCTCAGAATGTTTCCACAAAAATGATAAAAGGGAGAAGTCCATTTCACTGAATGGATGTTTATTTTGTTTTCATTTGTGTTTAAAACTAAAAAATATATATGAGACCTTTTACTTGTTATCATGGGGCAGGCCAACATGCTGTCATCTACTATGGAAATCACTCAAAATATACTATGTATAGCAGGAAGAATCTATAGCAGGGGTTCTCAACCTTGGCAACCTTAAGACTTGTGGACTTCAACTCCCAGAATTCCTCAGCCAGCTTTGCTGGCTGAGGAATTCTGGGAGTTGAAGTCCACAAGTCTTAAAGTTGCCAAGGTTGAGAACCCCTTTATTTTATTTATTTTATAATTTAATTTGTACCCCGCCCTTCTCCTCACCGGACTCAGGGCGGCTAACAGCCTCATAAAACCACAGTACAATAAATATCTATATTAAAACCAAATTAAAAGAAAATATTTGAAAAGGCCAATCATTAAAATTACCCTTAAAATTACCCTTAAAAACCCCACTAAAATTCCCTAGGCCAGACCCGCTTGTTGAAAAAGCCATGTCTTTAGGGCGCGGCGGAAGGAGGGGAGATCCGGGATCACCCGGATCTCTG